GTGGGGAGTACACTTAAAAAAAACCTAAACCCAGTTGGGCAGTTGTGGGGGGTACACTTAAAAAAAAATTCAACCTGCTGCGTGAAAAGTGGGATTCAAATTTAAGGTAGAAGGCATCATCCTACCCTGCAATTCTAAAGAACGCCTGTGACCTTCCCATTAAAGCAGGGACACAAAGGAAATTGAGTCATCGACTTCTTGCTGTGCAAACCCCCAAAATTTCTCTCTGAGGCAGAAAAAGATCCCCTTTAAAAGCTATCCGGTCCCTGGTAGTATCTGCCACCTGCTTCAGCTCATTCTTTTGCAAGAACCACTTCCCTTTCAGGCTCTTGGGTGGAGTCAGCTAAAACGAAGGTCCTGGGGAAACACAATTGCAGTCACTATCTTGTCCCCAGCCCCAGCCCCAACCAGGAGGCAGTGGTGGGGAGGCCCAAGTGACCTCCCACCACCTCCTCTCCATCAGGGGACCCCAGCCTTGAAGCATCTGACACTGTAGGCTGATCTGCAACGTCACTTGGGTGGCCATGTGTCACCTAGAACTGCACATTGGGTTTCAGTTCAAGACCCATGTCAGCCAACTGCCTGGGGTCTCACAACCTACTACTGAGCATATGAGGAGTGGGGCTCTGGGTCAGTATAAGTGACGTGCTTGCTGGGTCAGAGTGAGAGCTTCTGTAGTGCCTCTTTTCTCGTTTTCAGGCAGAGGGCATTGCCCTAACTTGTCTCATAGACAAGCAACTACCTCTCCCTTTATTCCAAGTGTGCACATGAGAGCATGTCTAGAAGGGCAGCTGGACTCTGATAAGAGAAGTAACTTATTTTAGTTACAAATAACTTGGTTGTCATCTCTGACAGCTGTGACCAAACCTGGGGAGAGACAGGCCAGGGCAGGGCAGCCAAGAGTCCTGAGCCTGCCGAAGGTAGAGAGAGAAGCCACCCAGGCAAGGCTTCACTCATGCTAGCCACAGCGGGCAGGGAGTGTGGGAGAACCACATGCAGTTTCCAGAGTCCTCCAGACACAAAGTAACGAATCAGAGGAGCATAAGCATTGGAGTCGAACATGGGAGGATGTTAGATGATGGGGAAATCCCAACTCCCCCACTGGGTCCTAGGGGAAGTCATGCCATCTCCCCAAGCCTCGATCTCTTTATCTAGAAAATGGAATTAAGAGAGAGTGAAGGGCTGTTGGGAGGCTTAAATGAGATATCCTGTGCTACCCCCAGCTTCATGTCTAGCATACAGCCAGTGTTCACTGAGTGGTATTTCCCAGGGACTCGGGACTTAGGACCCTGCTTTACATAGGACCATATGGTACCATAGCCGAGTGTCAGGCTTTTAACACTTCAGTGCTCCTAACCATCTAGTGATGTTCCAGGAGGTGCTAGAAGCCCCAGGACAATACAGAAAATCTTTCTCAAACACCAACTTTGCTATATGGTAAAAAAGATATATATTATTATATTAAACTCAAATTGGATATATTGTAAAGTAATACATAAAATTGTAATGAGTGTGTACGGCAGTATTTAAGGCGTTAGACAAATGTTGTTACACCAGTAGACCACACCCTCCCTGCTCACTGCAGGGGGTGGGTTTGAGGCTCCCACAGTCCTCATGATAGAGATATATCAGAGACCAAATGTATAAAAAGTGCCCTGCCCTAATATCTTAACAAGTCTCAGAGAGGGGAAGTCACCAGTCCCTCTCTTTAAGGTCTTCTAAATGATCCTTGGAGTTCCCATCTCTGAGTCTATGACAATGAGTCAGGAAATAGTTCCTGAATGAATGGAAGGGAATCTGTCATAAACTAAGAATTTCATGCTGTCCAGCATCCCCTCCTGTGTGGGGCAATTTGGGGGAAAAAAAAACGGAAGATTTTCCTACTGGCTGCCAGCCTCCCACACACAGACTTGTCACCATGCCTTTGCAGGAAGTAGATGTCCAATGTGTACATGGGGAATACCTGAATTAATTGATGCCAGCCCCAACAGAGATGAAGCTTTGCCTCTTTGCTTCTTCACATGGAAAAACACAGCCAAAGATCTAACTCCCAGCAAGAGGTGGAGTCTCTAATGCTCAGAGAGAAAGGAGCAGAAAGGTGTGTGCACCTGCCCCAAGCCCCAGGGCTCTCAGGCGCTCTCCTCTTTCTCAACACCAGGCACGCAATTCCCAAGCAAAGACCCCCTCACCCACGGAGAAAAGGAGATACATGTGCATGAAGGACTCATCCTCCCTGCCATCCAGCAAGGGTCACTTTCTTCCTCCTGCACAGGACCCCTAATTCAAGATATCTGTTCCCAACTCAGAGTTTCTGGGTCCAATGCCACTTAACTACATTTGGCCATTTCTCCACTTTTGCTGTCACGGACACAGATTGAACCCCTTCCTCCTCCCAAAAGCCTTGCTCCTTTCCAAAGTTTTCTCTTGGTTGTCCAGAGCCCACCACTCCCCAGAATGGGGCAACAAGAGCTCCTTTCCTTCCCCCTTCCTCCCTATTAGTCCACCTGCCCCCATCCACCCCATGCCCAGACCCAAGCCCTCTGACAAAGTCATGTCTCCTTTCCAAGTCTCAGTTCCTGCCAAACAACTTTACAAGCACATGAAAGCAAGGGCCGGGGCAGTTATTGCTACTAGCACTTCATTGTGCTTCCTCTAAATGATGCTCCGCAAAGGGGCCGTGGAAACTCAGGGCAGGAGGGAGCCTGCCAGTCTCTGGGAGAACCCCAAGGGTTAGGACACTGCCCAATATTTGGAGGTGGGGCCCTTTAGAAGAATCAGGGAGACAGGCTGGAAGGAGTCAGGAGTCAGAATGCCCAGAGACAAAGCAGAAGATGGCACTGGTAGGTAACACACAAATAAACTTCCCTAGAGACCACAGGGAAACCACCAGGACCCTCTTCTCTGAGGCCAGACCCAGGGCTCTCCCTGATCTCCAGCTTCCCACTTCTTTCCCATTCTGACTCTTTCTGCTTTTCAAGGGCCTATTTGAGCTCTGGCTCCTTTTGGAACTTTTCCTAAGGCCTAGGGTCCACCGAAATCCTTCCCTCCCTGAAATCCTTTTCGAGTGTGTCCATCTTATATTCTAATCCAACACATTCTAAGACTAGGCTTTGGAACTCAGTGGAGCTGGGTTTTCATCCGGCTTTGCTCCTGACCATGTGAATGCCAGCAAGTCACTTAACCTCTCTAAGCATCAGTTTTCCTCCTGTCAAACAGGCCTGATAACAGGAAACTTCTTACTAGGCCATTGTGAAGGTAGAATGAGATAACACATGGAAAGGATTTGACATAATGCCTGGCACGGTGAAAATATACAGTAGATGGTAGCTAGTGTTGTATTGCTTTTTTTTTTTTTTTTTTTTTTTAGACAGAGTCACATTCTGTCATCCAGGCTAAAGTGCAGTGGTATAATCTTTGCTTACTGCAACCTTCACCTCCTGGGTTCAAGCGATTCTCCTGCCTCAATGTCCCAAGTAGCTGGGACTATAGGTGTGCACCACCATGCCCTGCTAATTTTTGTAGTTTTTGTAGAAATGGGGTTTTGCCATGTTGGCCAGGCTGGTCTCGAACTCCTGACTTCTGGTGATTTGCCTGCCTTGGTCTCCCAAAGTTCCGGGATTACAGGTGTGAGTCACCATGCCTGGCTGTGTTTTTGCTGTTCTTATTATTTCAGCTTCGGTAGCATAAATCCTAGCTCCCCATATTCCCACCTAGCAATGATCTCTGCCCCACATGGAAAGGGAGATGTGTGTCAGAGACTCATCCTGCCTAGCCTCTACCTAGGGTCACTTTTTTCCTACTGCCCAAGGTATTTAGTTCAAGATACTTTATACTGAGTACTCAATCTTAAGTACCCAGGTGGGACTGTGTTTCACTTCCTCAGTAACCGCCCCCACCTCCAAGAACTGGATTAATAAATATTTGCTGAGTATAATTTGCTGCAGGCTGAGGTGTCTTGATGACCCAGCTGGCCCTTCTTAAAAGAAACATTAATTTTGGCTAGTGATAAGCAAATCGGACCTGGTAATTATCTGTACATATATAGACAAAGAAAGACAATGCTTGGAGTTGAGCTGGGCTAGAATACCTCACACGCAGCCCCTCCCCTCCACAGCCACCCACAGGCACCGACTCTGTTCAGATGTGCTATTGGAGCCCTAGCTCTGGGATTCCTGATGTTGCCGTGGTATCAACACTCCTCTCTCTGCTCTGAGGCTACCAGACAGGGAATATGAGCCACTTTACTGCTGGAATTTTCCCACACTGATTGGCAGAAGCAGGAGGTAGCAAGGACTAAGCAGCTGGTCCAGTGGTTGTCTCCCATTCTTGCTCCCTGTTCCAGGCTGAAATCTCGTGGAGACCCGCCCTAGAGCTCACTGCAGAGCTGGTTCAAGCTTCCACAGCGCTAAGGTGGCAGTGACAGTGCGGACTGTAAGCTTTGGAACAAAGCTCAGTGGGGAGTTGGGAGAACCCAGGGCTTCTTTCTGGAAAGCCTATTGCCAGCCAGTCTCTCACGTGCACTTGTGACCCCCTGTGTGACCACCTTGATAACAGCCACTCGCCCTGTCCCAGCCCCGGTTCCTACCCCGCCTAGCTCTGCCTTGCCTAGACACAGCCCGGTGGGGCTTGGCGAGCCCTTGGGCACAAGAGCCTGTTAGTCCAGACACCGACTGCGCACATCCAGGAGAACGGTTACTTTCTGCCATGTGCTCCAGCTCTAGCGACCTCACCCAAAACTGCGCGCCAGCAGCCTGCCCAGCAAACTTTGCTCTCTTTCTCTTTTCGGTTCAACCAAATGGTGCTGCCACAGACACGCTCTCCAACGGTTTAGCGCTGATCCCAGCCCTGCTTTCCCGAGCCCAGTGCACGTCGCTGGCAGCTCACTTGACTCTAGACTCCCAGGGCCAACTCAGCCCGAGGGGCTGCCCCCAGGTCGGCGCTGCGCACCCCGCACCAAAGCTTACAGCTGTCCCGGCTGCCCCGGCTGCGGAGGCACTCACCGATCTGCGCCAGGCTCAGCTGCACGAGGCAGAGTCCCCAGGCTGCGCGCCACCAAAACTTGTCCATGGTGTCCGGAGCGAACCGAGGGCGCAGGCGAGAGGAGCTGGAGGATCCCGGGGGCGCGGGGCAGGGGCCGGTGAGGAGGGCGGACCGAACCTGGCAGAGGCTGGGGTCCGCTGGGCAATGAGGCTGCCTCGGAAGTTGGCTGCAGTTTTTATTCGAGGGCTGAAAGTGACCTAAGACGGAGGGAGGGAGCGAGCGAAGGACACACCCAAGCGAGAGGGGCTGTGACTAAGCTGCCGGCAGAGGTTTAAAGAAGTAGCGTGTTCCTCGGCGGGCCCCTCTGCCCTCGCCCCGCGCTCTACTGAGGTTGTAAATCGGGCTGCAGGGGACGAGGGTGGGGGACCTGGGAGGGTAGCGGGGAGTTTGTGCCTCCGAGCCCACCGGCCCCTGAGCCCCCGGGACGCACTGGCTTTCTTCTCCCGCTGGCCCCGAGGCGTCAGGACAGAGGATGACTGAATCCTAAAACCTCGCTCCGTTGGGTTCAGCCCTTGGCCTCTCCTTTCCCGCAAAACTTCTCTTTGAATCCAGCTGGAGAGCGATCTCTGGGTTTCACAGGTAGTTGGATATCCCGGGAGAAGTTCTGGAGACGGGGCGAGGTCTTGCTCTGGGTGGCGCGGTGCCTCCCAGCCCACAGTGGAGAGTGAGGGAAGGGGAGTTGGTGAATCTTCCTAGGGGAAAGAGGGAGAACTCATTCTTTTCCCCCTGAAAAATGAGTGAAGTCCACATGGCTTGAGTGAGTTTTTGCTTCTTGTCAGAACAGCTCAGGGAAAGCTACAGGTGGCCGGTCATAGGGCTGGCATTTGGCCCGGCCAACCCATGTGTTCAAGCCAGTGGGGACGGGCACCTTTCTCTAGCCACCCACATACATGCTTATTTATCCTCCTAAATATCCTTCCATCCACTCATCCATCTATCCACCCACCTTCCCTTATGTCCTTGCAGGGCTCTCACATCCATCCATCCATCCTCCTGTCCATCCACTAACCACTTAGGTCCATCCATCATCCCATTCATCCACTACTGCAACCACACACCTTTTAATTTTTTCATACATCCAACCACCTATTCTTCTATTCATCCTTCCATACAACTTCTCACCCATTATTTCACACGTCCTTTTCACGTCTCTTCATAAACTTACAACAATCTACCATCCTCCTCTCCACCCATCCACCCACACACCTGTTTATTGATATATCCACTTTTCTCCCATCCATCCATGATCGACATATCCACCTATCATTTTATTCATTCTCTCATCCACGCATACATTTATCTATTATTTTTTTGCCCCCATTATCCTCCTTTCTGTGTGAACATTAATTCATTCTCCCCCATCTCTTCTACCCAGCAGTTTTTAAAGTGGAGATTGTAATATTATTCAAGGGAAGCCTTTTGAGATTGAAATATCATACTTTGAATGATAACTGTATATCTACCTATAATATACTATGCTTTAATATTTGGAAATCAAACGCAGTACTTATTGTTCATGTGAACTACTAAAAGTAAATCTGCATGGACTTCTTGCCTAGTGAGTTACACAGAAAGTGAAAGTGATTATCAGTGTCTGTGGCAAGACTGAAGGAACCATACCAGAACTTCTGAGGGAAGGTAAGATTTTGTTATTTATTTCAAGAAACTGAAAAGTTGAGAGAAATGCACCCAACCATCCACCTACCCATTCATTCATCAAATATGTCATGAGTGTTGCGGGATATCAAGGTAAAAAGACCTTGCCCTATTTTCAGAGGCCTCACCCTCTGGTAAGGAATCAAACTCCCAAGCTGGCCATTACTACGCAAGGCAAAATATGCTGCAAAATATGTGTGTTCAGGGTGCTACCATTCCTAGAGAAGGGAGTCATACTCTCTCCTGGAGAACACCAGGCAGTCTTCACAGGGGAGGTGATATTTGAGGCAGGTCTCAAAAGAGGAGGGGGAATTCTTCAGATGAAACTACAGGGACGAGTCATCCACTGGCAGCACTATGTAATGACAAAGAGCATGGATGGATTCAGGAGCCAGAACAGCTAGGTCCAAATGCTATCTTGGCTGCTTCTTAGTTGTATGACCTTGACTAAGGCAATTAACTTAATTTGCTCAAGTATAAAATGGGCTTAATAATAGCATCTATGTACTTTATAGATTTGGTGAGGATTAAATGACTCAAAGCTCTGCATGTATTACACATTAGATTTATGTCTACGTGTGCATGCAGTAAGCATTATAGATAAGTGTTTGCTATTGTTACTAAAAGCAAAATTGTGTTTGAGCATAGAAAAGTGAAAGAACATGGCTTGTACAGAGAATGCAGAGCAATGTGGGTTGAACATAGATAAGATGAAGGGGTCGGGGAAAGCAGCAGACACGAAGTTACAGATGTGGGGAGAACAAGGTGTAAGCTATGCCAGGGAGTTTGAACTTGAATCTGTAGGAAATAAGGAACCAATGCACATATTTAAAATTATTATTATTATGTTAAAATATGCATAACATAAAATTTGCCATTTCACCCATTTTATTATTTTATTTTATTTTTGAGACAGAGTTTTGCTCTTGTCGCCCAGGCTGGAGTACAGGGGCCAGATCTCAGCTCATCACAACCTCCACCTTCCAGGTTTTAACAAATCTCCTGTCTCGGCCACCTGAGTAGCTGAGATTAAAGGCATCCTCCCTTCCACCACGTCCGGCTAAAATTTTTGTATTTTTAATAGAGATGGGGTTCATCATGTTGGTCAGGCTGGTCTCGATCTCATGACCTCAGGGAATCCACCTGCCTCAACCTCCCAAAGTGCTGAGATTACAGGTGTGAGCCACTGTGCCTGGCCCATTTCACCCATTTTAAAGTGTATATATCAGTGGTATGCAGTACTCTTACAAGATTGTGCAACCACCACCATTGTCCAGTCCAGTGTAAATTTTTCAGGTGCAGAGATTCTGTTTGACTAAAGACTGCTCCTCTTGCATTTTCTGGAAGAGTGTTTGGGACTGAAAAATCCATATCTGAACCTAGTCCTCAGCCACTCAGAAGCTGGCAGGCCACGATGCAAAGGGCTGCCTGTCTGGAATGAAGACAGTGCCCCAGAAATCCCACCTGAAGAGCAGGTGCTTGGAAAATGCTGCCAGTCTGCAGGAAAGAGTTGCTGCTGCTGCTGTCTGTGACCAAGAGGATGCTTTATTTCTTCAAACAACTGGGGGTCGAACCAGCTCCTGGGTAAGCCTTCAGGCCCTACCCATGTGAGAAACCTGGTGGGTTCCATGGACAAGAGCACAGGACAAGGAGTGGCCTTGCTCACTTCATGCAACCTCTAGGCATTTCAGCTTCCTTTTCTTGGAGGAAGAAAAAGTGGGTAGTCACTAGGAACAATGTGTGTCTTACTGCATTTCATGGAACCTGGAGGTTCCTTAGAGAAACTTCAGAAGCAGACATAGTGGTCAGAGTAAAGGCTTAAGAGTAAGCTGTGCTTCTCTGTCCCCAGTCCCCATCCTGATTACCGAAGTTCCTTCCACCTGCATTAGTTTTATATACCAGACTATTGCATGAAATTTCATTTTGACAAAGGACTATTTTTTTTAAATACATAAAAAAACAACAAACTAGGCCATATCAAGTCCTAGTCCCATCTTCATTAGTGCAATAAACAATTCCACCAAGGCAAAGGCAGGTAGGAAGGTGCTTCACAAACTATAGAGGGGCATGCAAATTCTAGGGGTTATAATTAGGATGATTCTCCCCAGCAGGGAGTATTTTGCTTGCCTGCTTCCCGATAGTTTAGCAAGGGACTAAGGTCATTTGCCCCCATACCACAAATGACTCATTTCAAATAACTGACCTGGTGACTTACTGAGTCAGGGCCTGCCTTTGGGAATTCCTGGATCACCTCTCTGAGCTCTCCTCTCCTCCACTTTTCACTCTAAACACACCCTGCCCACACCCTGGTCACACAAACTCTTCCCAAACTCTTAGCTGCTCCATGTCTGTGGTGTGTTGCACCACCTCTCTTTCTAAGCCAAACCATGGGATGTGGGAAACTGTAAAGGAAACTTGATTGATTTGGGTTGACATGAGATCATACTATTTGAAAAGAATCCATAATGCAAACAGCAGCATTGGACCAAGAAAGCCCAGGTATGAGCATTGGCTTTCCCCCTTATCAGAGGTTGACTTAACCTCTGGGAGTTTTGGTAATCCCAGCCACAAAATGAGGGTAATCAAACCTGTCCCATAGTTGACTATGAGTAGTCAGTGAAAGAAGACATCAAGACCTTTTACTGGGGTGCCTGCTTCATGGTGGAACTCAGTGACCTCTAAGCTACCTGAGAACAGAGACACATCTATCTGGGGTGCTAGCACCTACTCAGCTCTCAGTTCCTGACATACACACTGTGCTCCATAAATAAGCATTACATAAATGCAGGAGGGACTGTTATTTTTTTCCCTCCCATCAGAGAACACAGGGGTGTTTCAGGAATCTCATGCACTAGTGGGTGGAAACACATAGACAACTTGACAGTTTCTAAATAAATGCAAGCAATGGTATCCTATTCAGGGTGATTGGTTCAGGGAGGCTTCAGTGCAGCCAGAGCATTACTCACTCTGGCAGACTAGGGTGCTTTGCTGAAATATTGGGGCCTGATGGCTTCTGACTGGTAGTAATAAATCCTGTTCCTCTCAAGCAAAGAAAAGTCAAATCTAAACCAAATGTGAGCAAGAGTGTAAAATGCAAAGCTGCGAGATCTTGGGCTGAATCATGGAATTCCAGGATTATAAATGCAACAGGTCACAGACTCTTTTAAAAGAACAATATTTAATTATTTCACAGGACTGCTTCCCAGAAAAGGAATGATCTGGCATGGGAAAGAAAAGGTGACATTTCAGTTAAACCTTAACTCTTAAAAAAATTCATCCTTAGTTCATATTCAGTGTGAATTCTGCACATACAAATGAGTCATGGTGAAAAAAGCTCTTGCGAAATAATTATTAGTAAAGTGTAAATAAACCAGTGGCTGGGAAGCAAACTTCATAAAAATAAATGACCTCCAATGACTAGTCTCAAGCTAACCAACTGTGATTACAGAGCTGAGTCTTTAGGATTAATAAGGCTCTCAAATTATGGCAAATAAAGAAATTGGTGTAGCTGCTGCACCCTGGGAGTGCCAAGGAGACAGATGCATCTAGATTTTAGATAGATCCACGTTAGCCACAAAGTGACTTTTACACAGACTTTTGGAGTTTAAAATAGTATG